ATATATATATATATATATATATATATATATATATATATATATATATATATACACACATACACACACACACTACACACACACACACACACACACACACACACACACACACACACACACACACACACACACACACACACACACACACCACATATATATATATATATATATATATATATATATATATATATATATACATATATATATACATATATATATATATATATATATAATATATATATATATATATATATACATACATACATATATGTATATTACACACACACACACACACACACACACACACACACACACACACACACACACACACACACCACACACACACACACACACACACACACACACACACACACACACACACACACACACACATATATATATATATATATATATATATATATATATATGATATATATATATATATATGATATATATATATTATGTATGTATGATATATATATATGATATATATATGATATATATGATATATATATGATATATATATGATATATATGATATATATATATATATATATATATATATATATATATTATATATATATATATATATATATATATATATATGTATATATATATCAATGCGTGTTGTGGAAAAAACAGAGGCTGGTCTATGTATGACTAAGTCTGTAGATATCACGAGAGTAATTCAATCTTTTAGAAATTTTTAACCCAATGTAATTGGTTCTGGATGCTGTTGTCTACCCTCTCTCCCTCTCGCCGCCCAGCGCCGGAGGGCTGGGTGTTATCCGCCTTCTGTCTTCCTTCTCGTATTTATCACTCTTCCCCCCCCCCCAGATGATTTGAATTTTTTGGTTTATCGAAGTTTCCCCTTTCAATGGAGAATTTTCTCTTACTATGTTTTGTTATTTTAATATCTATATTATAGTGGGTTCCCTGTTTACATTCAGTTTTAGAAATCTTAGCAATCCCAGTTATTGGAATATTTCAGATTTACTTGTTTTATTATAAACATGGGGGATTCATTATTCAAGATCTCTTTTTTGTTTATTTCTCTAAATTTACATTTAAAGCTGTTTTCGTATTATTTTCACGTGTACTACTTTACTCCCACTTATTATTTCTATGCATTTTAAACAACATGAGAGAAGAGGACATCCAATAATACATGTGTCAGCGTCTAACGTCTCCTGACTAATTTTTGCACATGTAATGAAAGGGAGACGAGGCTGTTTCCTCTTCCTTGCTCTCTCTGTGTTTGTTTTTGTTTTGTGCGAGGTGGGTGGGAGGGAGGTGGGTGCATGGGGGTGGGGAGAGGATGCGTCACTAGAGGTGTGTCAGAAGCAAAATAAGTGAACGAAAGGGATGTATACAAGTCCTACGGGGTTATGAAAGTTGTGTCCGGAAATTCCGATATCTGTGCGTAGTTAAGAGGTGAGGGAAATGTCGAAAATATTGAAAGATCTAGATGTTTATTAGTCAAAGCCATAATTACCTCCGATCGATAGAGCAATCCTTCTCCATCCAAAAAGGGCTTCTCGGATGTCAGGTCGCAGATTGGTTTAAATCTAATTACAAAACTCATTACCATTACAGGTGTTAGGCAGACAGGAAGACACACCTGCCGAAAACAGCTGTCGAGTTAAAGGGACAACGCAGTCCAGTGTACTAAGTACCCCTTTTCACTTCGAGATCACCGTGATTGTGCTTAAGGGACTCGTGTTGTACATATTGCATAGTGTCTTTAGAAAACCATGGTGATGTAAATATAATCTGGTGTACTTGTTACGTGATGGAGTAAGCCTTAGTTGGGTCTGTGATGTGCTGTGATTTTTAAAGGGTTCATATGGTTGAGGAGTCTTATTCATATACAATTGAATGATTAATGGTCTGTTAGATGACCTTTCAGAAGGAGAATGAACTGGGAGATAACAGATCAAGAAGGTTTCAGATTAAAGTCATACATTTAAAGCTTTCAGAAAGGTGATGAGAAGTAACGAAATGACTGAGTAAATGAGACTTATATCACCAATAGACATCAGTCGGATAAACCAAGTCATCTAAGTTTCAAGGAAGAACAAATTCATGTATCTAACGAGAATGATACTAAAGAAATTGTCTCCCAGGTGTACCTTCCACACATGCTTTTTGATCCTTATAATACACTTACTGCTTTTGTTGACTTTGTACGAGGGCTGCAGTGACGAGCGTACGGCGTCAGAAAAACAAAGTGCAGAGCCAGGAAGACCCTTAGACAATAGCGACTACATAAAACAACGTGACTGGCCAGCTTACGAAAATACAGGACCAGCGCATCACGCCAGAGCGCTTGTACACCAAAACCGAAGCCCTGTACACCAAAGCGAGGGCTCTGTACACCAAAGAAGACGGCCTGTACACCAAAATGGAGACCCTGAACATGACAGTACAGAGGAACAAGGAAACGACATAAGTAGTGGAAGAGAAGAGGCCAAGGAAAGCCATTATCATGATTCATCTGAGGACGAAGCTGCTCTCATCACTGACCCTTACATCACTCGAGCCCTCAGGTGAGTCAGGTGAGTCCTGTGCCGAGTAGAGTGAGTTAGGGCATAGGCAAAGGATGATAGGAAACGTGTTTTATAAGAGGTAAGTCGATGATCATAAAATGGGGAAATGGTTGAGAGAGAGAGAGAGGGAGACAGCGAGAGAAAGGAAAGAGAGCGAGAAAGGGAGAGAGAGGGAGATAAAGGAGAGAGAGAGAGAGATAGAAGAGAAAGAAGAGAGGGAGATATAGAGAGAAAGGGAAGGATAGATAGATAGATATATATATATATATATAGAGGGAGAGGGAGAGACTGAAAGAGAGAGTGAGAGAGACAGAGAGACAAACTCCGAGAGCGAGAGAGAGAAAGAAGGGAAATATATGGTAAGGGAACATTCCTCGTAAAAAAAAGCAAACAAACTTTGACAGCCAGACATCATCACGTGACTGAATAACCACGATTTTATTCCCTTGTTACGCTCTTCTCTTCCACTCATTCTTTTTCCTCGATCACATTACACATTTTTTTTCTCTCTCTCCCGCCTTCCAGCCACATCAGTTCAAGGACCACCCTCGAGTGCGAGCCGCGACACCGAGTGATGTACCTGAAGACCCACAAATGCGCATCGACCACCCTCCAGAACGTTATAATGAGACACGTTAGGTCATACAACGCGGACGCCTTTCCCGATCTTACGGCCGTTGTGGAAGGGGAGTTGCGTGGGTCTTCGTTCCACGGAGGGCGTGGGCATACAGGGGGTGCAGGAGGAACGGGGGACACAGGGGGTGCAGAAAATACAGAAGATACAAATACAGAAGATACAGGGAATACGGAAGATACATTGAATACGGAAGATACAGGGAATACGGAAGATACAGGGAGTACAGAGAATACGGGGAAGGTAGAAGATACTGGTGATACAGGAAATACAGGGAAGGCTAAGGATACAGGAGTTCTAAGGAAGACCGCAGGTAGAGGTAAGAGACAGGATACAGATGATACGAGAAGTGCGAGGAAGATGGGGGATAAAGAGGAAGGTGTTGAAGACGAAGGAAGGAAGGACGAGAAAAGGAAGGAGAGGAAGAATAACGAGAAGGAAAGAGCTCGGCCGGTTTTCGTGGCTGTTCCGGAGAGGGGCGTGTATCTCGGCAGCCCGGAGTTCTTTAACGTAGAAAAGCACTTGGTAAGTATTCTATGTATCTCATGTACTGGAAGGGTGTTCTTATTAGTATTATTATTATCATTATTATTATTATCGGAGCTTTTTGATAAGAGTGTTATTATTATTATCATTATTATTATTTTATATCGGAGCTTTTTGATGTTGAAATTCTCATCGTGAATGGTGACAATTTTACCCAAGTTGGTCGTAGTCTCGTTGTATTGGTTGGAATATTATCAAAAGCACAAAAGCAATACCTTTTTTATTATTTTATTTAATCGATTGTTAACGGCATTATTTGTTGGTAACTTGTCTCTTAGCATCATCGGTAATTACGATAATGATAATAAATACGATGATATGAACGATAATTGTAACGAGATCTTGTATATTCATTTCCTCATCTCTCTGTTTATTCTTTCTAATCGTTGTTACTCCAACCTTTCCTTCGTTCCCCTGACCCCTTGTCCCTCTAAACCCCTACCCCCGTGACCCCATGTTCCCTGACTCCCCTCCCCCCTCCCCCACCCTGTCCCCAAGGCCTCCCCAGGGCTCCTCCCCCCCAGCCGGCGCGCGGACGTGTTCGTAGCGCACACCCGACTCGACGCCGCCCAGATGCAGGAGCTGATGCGCCCGAACGCCCTGTGGGTCACCGTGGTGCGCGACCCCCGGAGGCTCTTCCCGTCGCTCTACTCCTACTAAAGGTGGGCGTCGGGGGGGCGGGGGGGGGGGGGAGGGGAGGGGGCGGTGTCTCTGCGTCTCATTTGCCTCTCGTGTCTTTTAGTGATGGCAATATATCACACACACGCGCACACACACACACACACACACACGCACACGCACACGCACACACAACACGCACACACACACACACACACACACACACACACACACACACACACACACACACACACACACACACACACACACACTCACTCACTCACTCACACATATATATATATATATATACAATATACTCATATATGTATATTGATATATGTAAATATATGTATATATCATATATATTACATGTGCAATCAAACATACATACATACAGATATCTACCTACTACTACCTACGTGTGTGTGTGTGTGTGTATGCTTAATACATATGCAAAAATATATACGTATGTGGAGACCCAACCACATGTATGCGTGTGAGTCTGCATGTGAGTATGCATGTATATATGTATATTTATATAAGAATGCATGCAAATACATTACATTCACCTACATGCATATCCTTGAGTAATTTAAGCAAATCGACTGATGACATCGCTCTCTGTCAAACCGTCCACAGCTCCATTCATATTACGGGATGTCGCTGAAGAGCTTCCTTCAGTTACCTTTGGAGCGCATGAGGAGGAGGTCGCGCTTCGCTGGCGTCATGGGGGCCAATCAGGTGAGAGGGAGAGGGAGAGAGGGGGAGGAGGGGGGAGGAGAAAGAGGCCGGTGGAGAAGGAGAGGGAGAAAGAGGACTGTGGAGAAGGAGAGGGATACGGAGGGGGAGATGGAGGGAGAAAAGAGCGAGGAGAGAGAGAGAGAGAGAGAGAGGGAGGGAGATGGATGGAGGAGGAGGAACAGGGAAAAGGGGGGGGGAGTTAGAGGGAGAGAGGAAGAGAGGGAGATATATATATATATATAAAGAGAGAAAGGTAGAAAGAGAAAGAGAAAAGAAAGAAAAAGATAGAGAATAATGAGAACGAGTTTACCACAGTGCAGTCCGTTTACCCACACGCAAAACCCCTTCCCAGATGACCTTCGACCTCGGCCACAGTCCCAACACCCCTCCCGCAGACGCCAGCGGGATCGACGCCCTCATCCGGGACATCGAGGCGACCTTTGACCTGGTCTTGGTGGCGGAGCGCATGGACGAGTCCCTGGTGCTGCTCGGGAGGGCGCTGTGCTGGCCGACGCAGGACCTCGTCGCCCTCGTCAAGAACCAGAGGATGCAGGGCGGCGAGGAGCTGGGAGAGGAAGGTGCCGTTGGGTTTCCTGGGTTGGGGCGCTCGCTCTGTGTTTAGTGTGGCTAATAGGAGAATTAGTGCGTAAGGAAATTGAGATATAAGCACACAAAACCCTACAATATATATATGTATATAATATATATATAATATATCTATCTATCTATCTATCTATATATGTATGTATCTATTCATCTGTCTATCTATATATGTATAAATTTGTGTGTGTATGTATATGTATGTGTGTACTCTATGTTACGCAGAATGTGCTATACTCATGCCCATCCACAAATCTATTTTCATGCATATTATCCCATAAACTTTCTCTCTCTCTCTCCTCCTCCCTCCCTCCTCCTCCCCCCCCTCTTTCTCTCTTCCCCCCCAAAAAAAAAAATCCCCTTGAAACAGAAATTCGCAAACTGGAGCAACTGAACCACTTGGACGTGCATCTGTACCGCCACTTCGCCCGCAAGTTCGAGCTCCTGACGCGGGCGTACGGCAAGACCCGCCTGCAGGAGGAGGTGGAGGCGCTGAGGGCCGCCAGGAGCCAGTGGGTCGACTACTGTGTGGAGGACGTGGTCGCAGGACGCAGCCGGAAGACGTCCTTCAAGTGAGTCCTTCTTGTTTTGTTTTTATAATTATTGTTATTATTATTATTTTTTAATTATCATTATTATTATTATTATTATTATTATTATTATTATTATTATCATTAGTATTATTATCATTGTTATTATTATTATCATTGTTATTATTATTATTATTATCATTATTATTATCATTGTTATTGTTATTATTATTATCATTATTTTTTTTTTAGCTTTTAGAGGATAAAAATGTATGAAGAATGAAGAAAAAACTAAATATAAATGAGAGAAAAAAAGAAAAATGTGAGTATTCGATAGATGAAAAGACAGTAGGCCTATCCTTTAGCACATGTGTGAATGTGAGTGAATCTTAGCACTAAATTGCATTTTTTTCAGTCCTCTAAAAATCTGGTTTTGATTTAAGACGCTGCGCCATTTGTTTATTATTTCATCTGTTCGTTTCCCTTTTTTTTTATATTCGTCTGCCATTCAAAAATCAACCAATTTTTCATTCTCCTTTTTACACCCTCCAGAGAATACTCCGGTAACGAAAACTTATTTAATTATTTGTATTAGATCAATGATATTTATTTATATGCTAAAATCTTATTTGTATTAGATCAATAATATTTATTTATGTACTAAAATCTGCCGGTAACTTGTATCAAAATATATTTTTTTCGTAAACATTCATACCCATATTTTATTTTATTTTATCTATATATTGTTTTATTTTCAAATTTGATCCTTTTCTTTCTATCTATACTCTCCATCGTATACAATCACGCCCCTTGCCAGACCAATCATTTCATTTTTTATCGTTCTTTCATTTTTTCCGTTCTTTAATTTTTTTCCGTTTCATTTTTTTCCCGTTCTTTCATTCTTTTTCGTTCTTTCATTTTTTCATTCTTTCATTTTCGTTTCGTTCTTTCATTTTTTTTTCGTTCTTACATTTTTTTTCGTTCTTTCATTTTTTCCATTCTTTCATTTTTTTCCCGTTCAATCATTTTTCCCGTTCTTTCATTTCTTTTCGTTCATTAATTTTTTCCCGTTCTTTAATTTTTTTCCCGTTCTTTCATTTTTATTTTTCATTTTTCATTTTTTCCCGTTCATTCATTTTTTCCGTTCTTTCATTTTGTTCCCGTTCTTTCTTTTTTTTTTTCCTTCTTTAATTTCTTTTCGTTCATTCATTCTTTTTTTCCCGTTCTCCTTTTCACCCCCTCCAGAGAATACTCCGGCAACGTGTGGGGGTTCCGACTCGCTCACCCGGAGAACCGAACCTGCGAGTCCCTGGCGTGGACCACGAGGCGGTTCTTCGAGTATTTCCGGGTCTTCCAAGATGGCCTGAGATCGGATGAGGCGGAGTGAAGGGGGGGGGGTGGGGGGGGTGGTGGATGTTGGGTGGGTTGGGAAGGGGGGAAGGGGGGTTGGGGGGTGGAGGTGGAGAGGGGGGTTAGGGGGGGGGAGGGGACGGGGGGAGGGGGATGGGGGTGGGGGTGGAAGGGGGGTGGGGAGGGGAAGGGGATGGAGGAAGGAAAGGGGGAGGGGGTAGGGGTGGAGGTGGAAGAGGGGGAGGGGGGGGTGGGGGTGGAGGTGGAAGAGGGGGACGGGGGTGGGATGGGGGTGGAGGAAGGGACGGGGGGTGGGGGTGGGTTGAGGTGGAGAGGGGATGGGGGTGGGGTGGGGAGGTGGAAGAGGGGGAGGGGTGTGGGGTGGATGGAGGTGGAAGAGGGGGACGGGGGTGGGGGTGGGTGGAGTTGGAAGAGGGGGGGGGTGGGGGTGGGTGGAGGTGGAAGAGGGGACGGGGGTGGGGGATGGGAGGTGGAAGAGGGGGAGGGGTGGGGGGTGGAGGTGGAAGAGGGAGGGGGTGGGGGTGGGTGGAGGTGGAAGAGGGGGAGGGGTGGGGTGGGTGGAGGTGGGGAGGGGGACGGGGGGGGTGGAGGTGGAAGAGGGGGAACGGGGGGTGGGTGGGGGTGGAAGAGGGGGAGGGGGGTGGGGGTGGAGGTGGAAGAGGGGGGACGGGGGTGGGAATGGGGGTGGGAGGTGAGAGGGGAGGGGGGGTGGGGAGGTGGAAGAGGGGGAGGGGGGGTGGGGATGGGTGGAGGTGGAAGAGGGGGAGGGGGGTGAGGTGAAGAGGGGGAGGGGGGGTGGGATGGGTGGAGGTGGAAGGGGGGAGGGAGGTGGGGATGGTGGAGTGGAAGAGGGGGGAGGTGGGGATGGGTGGAGGTGGAAGAGGGGAGGGGGGTGGGGATGGGTGGAGGTGGAAGAGGGGAGGGGTGGGAAGGTGGAAGGGGGAGGGGGGTGGGGATGGGGTGGAGGTGGAAGAGGGGGAGGGGTGGGATGGGTGGAGGTGGGGAGAGGGGGAGGAGGGGTGGGGATGGGTGGAGGTGGAAGAGGGAGGGGGTGGGGATGGGTGGAGGTGGAGGAGGGGGGTGGGGATGGGTGGAGAGAGGGGTAGGGGTGGATGGGTGGAGGTGGAGAGGGGAGGGGGTGGGGATGGGTGGAGGTGGAAGAGAGGGGGAGGGGGGGGTGGGTGGAGGTGTGAGAGGTGAGGGGGTGGGAGGGTGGAGTGGAAGAGGGGGGGCAGGGGTGGGGATGGGTGAGTGGGAAGAGGGTGAGGGGTGGGGATGGGTGGAGGTGGGGGGGACGGGGGTGGGGGGTGAGATGGTAACTGTCTCTTTCGTTCACGATTAAATCCGGAATGTGGTATACACAGATTTGGGTTTGCGTCACTGATTTTATCAGTTATTTGCTTATGATAGTTTTTCTTAGCCAATCTCTTGTCTAACCTTTTTTGCCAAGTACTTTGTCGCATCGGTGTTGTTTGTTTCGTAAGCTTTTTGTCTTGCCAGGATAAGGTCTTTGATCCTGTGGGTGACCCATGGTTTGTCCTGATGGTGGGTGGAAGTTCTTTTTAAGGGGAAAGCAGTTGTCAACTTGGTTCCAGACTGATTTATATAAAAAGGTTGCATTTGGCGTTCGGGTTCGGGGGCGTTGAGAACGTCGGCCCAGTTATGATGAGTAATCCATGATCCGAACTCGCGGATTTTAGAAATCAGGGGAATCTACGAATAAGTTTTTGTTCCTTTAACTTGCGTGGGTGCCTGGTATTTCTTTGGTACCCAGAGCAGCGACAAGTGATCACTATTGCCTAAAAGGGGGCAGGAAGTTGGACTTTCATAAAAATGCTCTTTATTTGTTTATGATTTTGTCCAGGGTATTTTTCCCACGCGTGACGAATGACACAACCTGCTTAAAATTCAGTACAGAGGTGATTTCTTAATCAGAAAAAGTGTTCAGGTCGCCAAGAATTACAAAAAAGGGATTTTCGTACTTTGGTTGGAGGATGAACACATTTTCTATTGTGTGTTCTCTGAGGCTTTCTTCGGTAGGTGCCCTTGGGGGGAAATATATCCCGCAGATTACGAGCACACTAATTTTCGCGAGCAGCATGTAGGTCTATACAAGCCGAGCCATATTGTTTCAAGGTCGTCACTTGGAGGACAGATGGATTTTTATAGTGTTGCAGGGGATAGTCTCTTTTGATGTAATACCAACGCCACCACCTTTTCTGCCTTGACGAATTTGTTAAATAAGTGGTACCCTGTATGGGTTCCGATGTTTAATGTACGTCTTTGAACCACGTTTCTGTGATTACTGCAACATCGATAGTATTTTGTTTCATTATGACGTCAGTTCGTCCACTTGTTTGTAAGGCAGCATGCATTTGCAAGGTAAATGCGGGGAAGTGTTCTGCTGGGGTCTTGCGTTAGCCTGGGTCGCATTGTTTGACGACTGAGTCATTTTTGGTCAAATCCGCTCACCGGGTTTGCGAGTTTGTAATGTTTCTATTTATAAAGACTCTCTACGGGGCTGGGGANTATATATAATCTACACATCATCACACACTACAAACACAAACACAATACACTACCAATAATATATGTCACTACATATATATTATATATATATATATACATAATATACCTATATTTAAAGATATACCAATATACATATTATTATATACAACTAGTACATATCAATATAACTCAACTAATATATATAAGCACCCGAGAGAGTTGACGACGAGACCGAGACGACGAAGAGACGAAAGAGAGCAAGACGAGAGCGAGAGCAGAGACCGACACAGACAGAGACACGAGAAACACGAGAGAGGGGAGAGAATTAGATGGACAAATCTTGCATCGATAACCACAAAGGAATAATTAATGCCGACACCCTCGACTAATAATAGCCAACTTATAAGCATACTAGTACACCACAGAATAAAGACGATAGCATACCGCACATAGAACATATCCATCCGTCCAATCCTATAGTCCACCCCAGTCAATAAAACAAAGACCAAAACAGACAATTTATTTAATTCTCTCATTTATCAAGTTCACTCTCTTTTTTACATTTATTAATCACGGTAAAATTGACCGAACCGTCGCACACCATTACACACCA